GCTAAGCGTTTATCAGAAATTAATCGAATTCTGATACCTATTATAATTAATACCAAAAAGTGTTTAGTACACTCAGGAGAAGGTTTTAGTATAATAATTAAAAAAAACCAAGGAGATTGAAGCCATTTATTATAAAACTTAGTTTATAAAAGAATTATTTAAAAAATACTAACTACTTAATCCTTTTATCAACACAAAACAGAAGGTAATGTTTCACACAACACAACCAGGAACTCTTTGTTTAGTGAGAGTTAGCTATTAATACTAAATCAAGTTAATCCCATCCCTCGATCCTCGACAGGACCACAAACATTGAACCATTACAATATTGTCTTTCACTATACAAACAGATACAGTATTTGGTGAATTGGATTCATTATGCTAAACAGAATTACCATTACTTAATCACTATAAATTATTATTACTTACAGTACATAAAAAATAAATTACATGACATAACGTCACGCCTTTTATCCCAGAAGGGAAAGGCAGGTGTGCACATTACAGCTGTACAATGGAACAGCCACTTTTCACTATTTATTTATGTTATGAGTCCCATGTAATAGGGGGTCAGCCTATTGCCATATACCGGGCACAATTCCAGCCTCCGTGCTACTACTGAGAATTATCTTACAAAACCCAGTAGTACTTTTAGCGACTCGGAAATCGAACCCGAGTCCCCTTACCCGGCAATCGCACTTACTACCACTCGGCCAACGAGGCAGTCCAGGCAGTAACTTGATTTATTTTCTTGTTTTATTGTTAATCTTGCATGTTTATAGTATCTACAGTGTATCTACAATTGGGTTGTGTCCAGGGTATCAAAATTAAAAATCTAATTAGTCCGTCAGTTAAATAATGAAAAAATATAAGACACGTATTTTTTTATTTTCTCGTATTAAGTAGATAAAATAGCGTTAAGTTTAGGAGTGGGAGATCGCTACGTCATAAAGTGCTACAAAATGTGACACGCTTTGACGTCACACGATATTTCAAATTAATATATCGTCGAAAGTATTTAATTTTGTTAGAAAAGAAAAAATACGTGTCTAAAGTTTTAAATTAATGTACCAATCGGATATTAAAATAAAATTTAGGACACTTCCCTATGACTACTTAGAATGACAGGTGGAAATTTGGAGTCTACTATCACAAAACAACCCATTGGTTAAAAGGCGATCTCCGATAATTTTATCAAATGCCTGTTGTAATTGAAATAAACTTTTTTTTATTCTTTTTTTTATTTTTACACATATTTAGAAAATTAAGTTGCCAGTTTGGTTTTTTGTACTGGTTTCTGTGGCGTGATAACCTGAAGATGTTTTATAGGTTAAATTCGTTGTGTCAACGAAGTTGTAAAAAAAAAGGTATTAGTATGACACCGTTAAACCCGGAATGTTTACTCAAAACTTAGTGCATTATAAAAAATCTAGACAAGTAAACCAGGAATAAGGATCACGATCAATCTGAGACAAAAAAAAGTTCATTGACCTCTTCATGAAACAATTACAAGATGGAATGAATACATAATATAAGAATTTATAAACAGTTGACAGAATTATTCATACGTGTAAAAATATCAGTTTATCTAGCACCATAATATACTTAGATAACAAATGACATACTGTATGTAGCGTAGCTTACTGAAAACAATTAGCAATGCGTAGTCAAACAAAAAGTTAACAGGAAAATAAATGACAAACATTGTAAACTGAATATTTACCTCTAACCCACAGATAACAAGAACTCACAATGATAACTGTTCGCAATACCAAATAAACATCACCCTGTTAAAAGATTCATACAAACAAAGGATAATCAACTTTAATCTCGTTCTGATATAGTGGTAAATTGAATGACGAATACGGAATGTATCACTTGCAATTCTATGCCAGAGCAATTGACTCAGGGTATTCCCTCCACATACAATATTAATGTGCTAGCATATAGTGTGAGGCGACTGATTGCATGGGACTGTTTCTGCGGTATCCATTTCCGTCTGAACACAACTGTTAATACGTTACGGGAATAGTTTAGCGGCAATGTATGTTAAAGTGAAATGTATTTGGATTTGGTCGTGTTGTTTATCGATCTGGTGGTATAGTTTGGGTGAAGTTATACGTGGGTCTGGGATAGTATAAATAAGATGGAGCTTGGAAAGTTCTGCACACTTTGAAAGGTTTCAATCATGAAGGCTTGCGTGGTTCTAGCTCTGCTCCTCGTCGCTTTTGCGGTCGCGACCTCCGCCGCTGATTTAGGACATACAGGTTTGTGAAGTTTATCTTATTGCTATATTTTGAAAGGGTACATTGTTACTTGAGTTGTAGGATCGTCTTCGTCAATGACTGTAGTTTGGGTTCGATTTAGAAAACACAAAGTTTCTTTCTTTTAACTGTGACTCCAAAACGTGTATTAGCTCTCTCGTTAGAAATACATTAGCGACATTTATTTAAACCATACATATTTGTTTACTATATGATACACGTGAAACAAAGATATTACATTTACAGATTTTACAAAATATTTATAAACTATATTTCATTTTTCCAGAGGCAGCTCACATAGTAAAAAGAGAAACGATCCGAGGACCAGAGTTCCCGAACCGATGCGTGTTTTACCAGTGCAGGGCTAGCTGCATACAACGAGGCTACAAGTCAGGTGGCTACTGCACCCTTGGTGGATGCCAATGTTTGCGATAGTCACGTGTAATTTAAATCTTGTATTGAATTTGAAGCTCTCGTCTTACCATGTTCGTATTATTAGTTGTAAGCCAAATATGAAATAAACTGTTTTACATTTTAATACATGGAATGTGTTTGTTGAATTTGTTTGTGCTGAAACCTTTTAAGAAAGCAACACTATTTCGCAATTTTCTAAAACTTTTCTTTGAACCGAATATAGTATATTTGCTGTTTGTTCCTTTGTATCTGCCCATTATTTCCTACCTATGGTGTCCTTTATTAGAATTTACAAGACAATAAAATCTACATAACCTTTTTTTGAGGGGGGATAATCATTCAACGACTTCTCCCGCCCGGTTGCGGTGAGAGGGAGTGCTAGACTCTTTCTGACTAAAAACAACCCGGTCCTACTCCTGCACTTCGAGCCGACACCCCGGCGCAGCCACCCGTTAAGTCCTCCGCGGCTCCGTATCGGCATCAGCGCTATTGGGCCCCATCTGGATTACAATAAACTTTTAACCCAAAATAATTACTAGAAGAGAAGATTTTGTAGCAACAGAATGAGGTTTTTATAGTCTTATTCAAGATTTTATAAAAAAACTCATGATAAATCAAGACGATAACGATGCACAATATTGAAAGTCATGCATTCGACATCTTACTATATTTATAAGACTAAATAATATTAATAAGACTAACTAATGTGTTGCTTTTTAAAATTAAGAAACGACATTTAATGTTTTATGCTTCCATAACCATTCTTTAACGCAAAATTATATTATTGACGTTTAAAAAAACCAAAGACTATTTGACAACAGTAATCAATTTAAAATTAAGAAAACCTTATTCTTTACATATTAATTTATTATAATTTAATTTACTTTAATATTGTATACATAATTATTGTTATATGTAAGTAAGTATAAGTTTCCAAATATACATATATGTATAGTGTTTATTGAATATTATGATTGTGAGATTTGTTATTTATTATATGGGTACATTCATTGCCTATTTATAAAGGTTTAAAATCACCTGCTACTTTCATCTCTGCACTGCTTAAAGGTTGACGGGAGACAATGCCCAGGGCATTAAGTCCACCTGTACACATTTTTTTTTTTTAATAAATTAACGTTGCCCCACACTAGGATTTTCTCCTGTGTCGTGGGTGCGTTTACAAATATACAAGTTCACATACACAATGTTTGTTGTATGAAGTTGAAATAAATAAATAAATATATTAATGATTGTCTGAGATTTTATAAATACACAATTAAGGAACTCGAGGGTTCACTCAAACAGTTGTGATCCTTAGGGATAACCAAAATAGCTTCCGTCAATTTGTTTAAACAAATTAATTAAATTCTGAAGATTGTCGATCATCAAGTAGTTGGGATTGTGGCAGATTTGTATTTGCATTTCACGAATAACCACCGCCTAGTCTAATAGTTTAATTTTGAGTTCATGTCTTTATCTCAAAATGTCATCGTTTTAATTATTTAATGAATTGTTTGTGTGGTATAGTAAATAACAGTGTAATTACGATTATTACTTTTCATTATCTGGTAACTCGCTGTTTTTACCTTTTACTAATGTTATGTAAGATTTATTTTAGTACTTTATACTGATAATTTATTTATAACTTTAAAATTTAGCCAGGCAAATAAGCTACTGAGCTCTAATCAAATCGTTAAGATACTATCAATGTAAATATGTCCCTTTTTTTATAAAATAAACAATTTAATTTAATATTTGGCTATGCATTTAAATGACATGTTTTTTAACCGACTTCAACATAGAAGGAGGTTCTCAGTTTGAGCTGTATGTATGTTTGTGCGCGATTATGTCGCAATTGGCTGAACTGATTTCGATGCGGTTTCTAAAAAGTTTTTGTAACACTTAACTCGTCGAGTACCGGTTTTATAGACACAATTAAAGAACAATAGGTCGCGGTCACCGGTGACCGCTTGGTGTTTGACAGTTTAAAAGAAGGTTTAAATATATTAATTAACCGACTTCAAAAAAGTAGGTCGATTTTTTTAAACGAAGTTTATGACATCAGTATTTTCAATTGATGTTTTTATTAAGCTAGGAAAGATATTTTTAAAATAATTATGCAAAAGGTAACCCAATAAATGAAGATATAAAATTATTCTTTATAAATAATAATTTATTTGTAGGTACTTAAAGATAACATAAATCAATCTTATGAAACTAATACAAAAAATAATAAATGCAATATTGAGCAATAACAATACTCTTTCTACAGTCGGGTAATAACAGTAATGACTGCAAAAGACATTAATACAACATAAAGGATTAATATTTCCCTTTGTTTACTAATAGATAAGGAGATCTGAAGTACGATGGAATGGTAGTAGGAATGATAATGGCATTGGATTTGTCCCTAATGTAGATAACACTCTTCGAACCCGTACCGTAGTAATAGGCTTGAACGACAAGCTTGGAACAATAACTCGGATTCTTTGAAGGAAAGTCAGGAGTGATCTTGTAAGTTATGTGAATAGTCTTCGTGGCTCCACCATTAGGATTGTAGTAGTTCCTGTCAGCCCAGCCAGCAGCTTGACGAGCGACCGAGTTATCAGGACAACGGTACACAATAGTCCAATCAGAAGCGTGTTCGTCAAACCATTTGTCTTTAGGAATCTGTCTGTTATTGTCTCTGATACCTGACATGAAACCTTCACCACCAGGCATTTCGAGGACCCAGTAATCAGAGGTCATGATGGCTGCGTGACCTAATAATCCTCCACTGCCTCGACCAGAGATCAATATGTCTCCTTTCTTCACGGTGTTTATAAAGGCTCTTTTGTTATCGGCTGTGCTGCGTTTGCTAATTTTTCTTTGGAACATAGACTCGTTAGTATCTGATAGTATTCCATAGTTGTTCATGATGAGCCATTCTTGGTAGTCCATGGGGTGGCTGCAGTTCATTGCCATGTATTCGTTGTAAGTGTCCTTGAAGACTTTGATCTCATCGTGGGCGAATGATTCGAGAGAATATTTCTCAGGGTCAATGATCCCCATGTCGATGCCGAGATGGTAGGCTGCTGCCGTTTCGTTTGAAATCACTTCTGTCGGTCCTGAAAGAAAATTTAAAAATTAACTACTAATAAACACCCCATGTTCCATAAAAGTATAATATGTGTATATATTTTACCGAAAATTTTTGAATCTATATATATAGGTACCCGGGCAGTATAATGCCCAACTGTATGGCTCAGGTTCAAACCCAATGCCAATGTTTGCTATTCTAGTCACACTAAGAAATACTCGACACTTGGTTAAGTTAATTAATCAAAGTCACCAAAACCAGTAAAGGTGAGAAACAGGAGAGGTATAGAACAATGAAAAACTCTTACCAAAATCGAGGGTTTCAGTCAAAGACATGCTTTGACACCCCATCGCCAGCAGGATCACACAAAACACTTTCATGTACTCCATGATGATGTTTCTCTTCGAATGTAATTAATTACCTGTTTCGTCCCATTTTATATACACATACACTTATAATTAGGAAATCCACTCGAGATTATAGGCTAGGGGATGTACTGCAAATAACGCAGTTTCTTTGTAATACGGACTTCACAATAGGTGACACATTTTAGGGAAGTGATTAGTTATATATAGCTGTATATATGCACAAATACGTGATAATTCATGATTCATAACTATGGCAGTATGGTAAATACTCACGTATACATGTGTTGACAGTTTTAATCACGTATCAATGTTAGTTCATTGCCTCGGTGTAGTGATATGATATGATATATGATAAATGATAAAAGATTGACTACTGAATTGGCCGAGTAGTCGCAAGTGCGACTGCTGGGGAAGAGATCTTGGTTTCGATAGCCGGGTCGGGCAAAGGATTAAAAAAAATTTTGTGCTCACCCTCTATTACATGGGACTCATAGAATATAGAGGTATAGTGAAAAGTGGGTATTACATCGTACAATGGCATTAAGTGCCGTGATGTGTACCTCTGTCTACCTCTTCGGAAATAAAAAGCGTGATGTTATGATGATGATGACTACTGGCTAAGAGATTTGAGGTGTGTTATTTCTGTTAAGAAAAGTGTTTGCTACCCGAAGGGATAGCATAGATACAAACCTATGATTCATTAAACTTCTTATTAGAATTATGTTAGCCTACTACCACCGCCGGGGATAATTCTGTACTCCATATTGTTATTAAGAATTTTCGAAAAATACCTACATATATCTAACTCTTTATTGCACCGGGAATCGAACCCAATATTTCCTTTATAGTAAGCATACGATCACCACTAAATCAGCCTATATAATTTAAATAGCACGTTCTTCAAAAATGTGCTTGTTTTAAAGTAGCTAAAAGAATGCCACTGTGCTAAAAATACTTGCATTTTACATAACAACATCACGCCTTTTATCCCCGAAGCGGTAGGCAGATGTGCACATTATGGCACTTCATGCCAACTGTACAATGTAACACCCACTTTTCACTATTTATGTTATGCATCTCATGTAATAGGGGGTGAGCCTATTGCCTTATACTGGGCACATTTCCAAACTACTACTGAGAATTTTTTAAAACCCAGTAATACTTTGCCCGACCCGGGAATCGAACCCGAGACCCCTTGCCCGACAGTCGCACTTGCAATCACTCGACCGGCATTTTACAATATTAATATTAACTGTTTGTATACACTGTATAGATAAAATCCTTTCAATTCCATCGAAACTTTATAATGAGGTTAAGTTAGTGGTATGTAGAAGTAATTTCAAGTGCATGCTTCTTGACAATAGTGTATTTAAAATACACTACAAATAACCAAGATTCGTCTGTTATAATACCTTGGATAATAAAGGAAACCATATTTTATTAAACTGTAATGTAAAGAAACGTACAATATACAATATAAATTTTCTAAAGAAAATAAACAACATAACATAACATCACGCCTTTTATCCCCGAAGGGGTAGACAGAGGTGCACTTTATACCAGTGTATAAGTAACACCCACTTTTCACTATATATGTTATGAGTCCCATGTAATAGGGGGTGCCTATTGCCATATACCAGGCACAATTCCAGACTCCGTGCTACTACTGAGAATATTAAAAAACCCAGTAATACTTTGCCCGACTCGGGAATCGAACCCGAGACCCCTTGCCCGGCAGTCGCACTTACGACCACCCAGCCAACGGGGCAGTAAAATAATACAATATTTATTAAAAAAACTTCTTAAAGTCAAGATTATTTTGCTATGTAGACAATGTCGTAAAACCTTAATTCGGCTCTAACTCTTGCTAACATTGAGTTAACCTAAAATCCATTCAAATCCAGGCTTAACAGACAGTTTGGGGATATAGTTGAGGATACTGCTGCCCATAAAAGGTGTATAGATATTCTATTAGATGCAGAACGCTGTCAAAAACCAATACAATTCCTGAATAAATTACGTCAAATGAATGGTACGAAAAAGGTTGTAAGAGTGAGTTAACATAGTCACTTTAATAACAATCGATAAATACTATAAGATTACGACACAATTTCAACAAACAAATACACATGCTGACATTGTCTGAGTTAAGACTTTCCGTAAAGTGCTGTAATAAGATTTGTATGATTTGAGGTCGGTCCTTATCCTCAGTACATCCCCTGATCTAGAACATTGTACTCTTGTTTACTTACACACTGTATATATCACCTAATTACTTTGTATATAAAGGTGATAATTGACAGACTCATCATTCAGATAACTAACATATCACTATGGAGTTAAGACAGATTTTAATTTTTGTGCTCTTATTCGCTGTTGGATCCCAAGGTTTGGATGAAGAGCTCAATTTAGGTAAGTCACAGTTACCAAAAATCATAAATACATTGTTACTCAATTAGCAAGGAATGATTCTGTGATGCAGTTCATGCTAACTCGCTGCAATTTGTTTGTATAATAGTGTACTTACGTGTTTATTTACCGTTTTCGGAATAGAGACTACATAGTCTCTGAACCGAGACTTTTGCAAGACCATATAAGATTAGGACGTGAACTCTTAGGGTATACTTACCAGCATAATCACTTGTCCTATGGCCTAATGCCCAATAATTTTATGGCGTCGTAACATTGTGATATTGTCCGATGTCTCATTTTTCTGCATCGTTATTAAACCCCGAACATGTTTCACTTAACTTCCAAAAATATTTAATGCATAGCTGACGTCTCCACCGTCTTACTTTTGGCATTGTCTCCAGAACCGACTATCTTGATATCAAACGAAACAACGGCCCTATACAGTGTTGGTGTCCACATGGGCATTATCAACCCCGAAACATACTCACTTGAGTCGTTCGCGGAACACGAGAGAGACATCTTCAAAGACGTGTATCAAGAATACCTGGCATATAATGACAGTTTACCACTAAACTACCAGGACTGGCTGATTATGAACAACTACGGGATCTTGCCAGACACACAAGAGTCACTGTATCAAAGAAAAATTGCCAAACGTTCCACGGCAGACAATAAGAGGCGTTTCATAAGTGTGGTAAAAAAAGGTGACATTTTGATCACAGGCAGAGGTATTGGAGGATTATTAGGTCATTCAGCGATAATGACGACAGATAACTGGGTTTTAGAGATGCCTGGAGGAAAAGGATGGAACAATGGAATTCCGAACAATAATAGACAAATTCAGAAGGACAAGTGGTTTAATCAGCATGCCTCTGATTGGACGACCGTTTACCGTTGCAAAGACAGCGCGGTTGCGAAGCAAGCTGCAACGTGGGCTGACCACAGATACTACAATCCTTCTGGTGGATCCACAAAAACCGTGCATGTTACGTATAAGTTGACTACTAACTTCAAATCAATAAGTCCTAGTTATTGTTCCAAGCTTGTCGTTCAAGCCTATTACTACGGAACTGGTAAGAAAGCAGTTATAAAGAATCCGTTCAATACGATAATCATCCCTACTACTATACCATCGTATTTCTTCTCCCCTTACGGACTGGTAAATAAAGGAAAATATTAGTATCTCAAATTATTTTTTGTACTGTGAATAAATATTTGAATGAATACATTTTCCATTACATGTTGATACTTTGGAATAAAAACTGTTTAACTAATAACATAATTTCTTTTATTACCAAATGGCATTGAATTGATCATCGAAAACTGTTAAACATAAGCCCTAGTAATATCCAGATAGATCAGCTAAAAGCAAACTGCATCCTACGGCTCCCTGTGACCTTTATCAGATCGTCCACTGTCCACCAGATTCATCTTCAAATACTGAATGAGTGAATTTTTATCAACTTCTATTGGATTCACATGTGATGTATCTAATAAATACCAGAAATATATCCAAGTCTGGAGTCGTTGTGGCCCGGAGGCTTAAGACGCCTGCTTCTCAAGCATGAGGGTGCGGGTTCGAAACCTACCAACGACAAGTACCAATGTGACTTTTTCCGAGTTATATGTACTTTATAAGATTATTTAGACACCACTGACAAACGGTGAAGGAAAAACATCGTGAGGAAACCTCGGCTTATAATTTCTAATTATAAGTTTGAAATCGCCAACCCGCATTGAGCAAGCGTGGTGATTAATGCTCAAACCTTCTCCGTGTTACCTAATTACTGTTTCAATTATGATCAGTGATTTTCTATGGGTAATGGAACAAGTAGCGTTTAATTAGTATTTATTTACCGTTTTAACTTAATTTTTTATTATCGAGTGTGTGGTGTTTTGTGATTTTTTCTTTCTCGGAAACTGTGCTTTCAGAGTGTAACCAAAAACGATAGAAACTACCAAAACTACAATCGTAATTTATCATCACTCACTAATACACTAATAGATTTAAAAAAAAATTGAGCTGAAAAATATATCTTTGCGATAAGTTGGTCTGCAGTACAGGAAATTCGATCTTGGGTTAGTATTATCAAGCTTTTCGGTTTTAATTTGTCATTCATGGACATGGAAATTGAAAATGAACTCGGAGCTGTATACAATAAAAATATTTTTTCTTCCTTCTTCCAGAATAAACATTTTTACAGACACAACGATTCGTTGACTGATTGAACTGAAAACTAACTCCAAGATTAAATAACTACGTAAGCTACTACCAATGAACATCAATGTGGTCCTTTTAATACTATTCTTTTTCATTAAAGGACAAACATTTGGTAAGTAGGTCTTAAATAAAAACATCAATTTCACGACCACATTATCATTAGGTTATTTATAACTGTTTGAAAATGATTTCGAATTGAAAAGTTAGGTCAATGTATATAATATTCTCGTTCCAAATATTATAACACTGACTGATACAAGAATTTAGATAAAGTATACCACTCTGCTTGACCCTTTATGTGACTCACTGTATGGTCACATCTGCATTCCGTTCAAACAAATGATACATCGCTGCCATACCTTTCATACGTCACCTTTTTGTTCCAAAAATAAAACTGAATGAACAATAAAATGGCGTTCCACAATTTATTGCTTCCAGGACAGAATGCCACGATATCGGACGAGACACTGAACGCCTACAATTTTGGAGTATACAGAGGCATTATCGATCCCAATAAATATCCGTTGGAGTTATTCGCACTACATGATAAAGGCATCTTCAGGGGAACCTACCAAGAATACATTACATTATATGATGAACGAGACGAGCCAATATCTTATCGGGAGTGGTTAGTTATGAACAACTACGGTATGATGCCAGATACTCAAGAGTCACTGTTCAAAGACAAAAACATCGCGCGCTGTGACATTTGTGACTACTGTGATAGTTGTGATGACTGTGACAGCTGCGAGAGTACTGACTTCAAGGAACTATTTCAACAAACAGTCAAAACAGGGGATATTTTAATCTCAGGCAAAAGTAGAGGTGGATTGATAGGCCACGCGGCGCTAATGGTTACTAATTACTGGGTGATAGAAATGCATGGCGGTAGGAAGTGGAAGAAAGGTATCAAAAGCAATAACAGACTGGTTTCTAAGAAGAAATGGTATAAGAAGAATAAATCTGAATGGATAACAGTGTATCGTTGCCCTGACAAAAGTGCGGCAGAGCGGGCCGCGCTTTGGGCAGATCGCAATTACTTTAACCCCCACGGAGGTCAAGATAAAGCTATACACATTACTTATAAGATAACCCCAGACTTTGAATGTACGAACCCCAGCTATAGTCCTAAGATGGTGCTTCAATCATATTACTTCACCACTCCGGGTATAATAAGAGATCCGTCTGAACACGGAGCTGTTATTGTACCATCCGCTATACCAGCATATTTTGTGGCACCTTACACATTACGGAAAATTGGAAAATATTGAATGATGTAATTAATAATCTTGTTAATACTCAAATAAATACATGACATTTGGTGGGTTTCCCTGCAAGTGATGAGGGGCTTAGTCTTTTTGTAATAAAAATTATAAAGTAATAGGTTTTTTGTGTAGAAAATTATTACAATACAAAATTAATATAAAAATTAAAGTTCAGGTACTGTAAATAGAGCACCAACTAATAAATAAGTTACATCGATGTCATGTTCCCAGTACTAGAAGTTTGTGTTCAGTTAGTAGTCTTATCTTACGAAAATCGACAGGCCTTGAAACAATTAAGCCTCATGTAGTAAATACAAGTAATTTTTATCCTTAGTATCAACTCCTAACGTGAGTGGTAAATAAATTAACACAAAGTTTTCTCCAGACAAACAACTACAGAACACGTTCTAAGTGTGAGAGAGCCATGCTTCGGCATGAATGGGCCGGCTCGACCGGAGTAATACCACGGCCTCACAGAAAACCGACGTGAAGCAACGCTTGCGTTGTGTTACGTCGTGTGAGTAAGGTTACCGGAGGCCCAAATAGCCCCTCCCCTTCCCCAATTCTTGAATTCTCAACAATCCTCAAACTCCTAATCCCCAAAAGGCCGGTAACGCACTTGTAACGCCTCTGGTGTTCTAGGTGGCCATGGGCGACACCGATTGCTTACTATCAGGTGATCCGTCTGCTCGTTTACCGGCTTATGCCGTAAAAAAACATCCTAATGTTTCATTTAATTCTAGACCGATCTGTTTATACTATGTGACTTCAATTAAGTACTATAACATTTTTCTTCATTTCTTTTTAAGTTTAATGTTATTTATCAAATAGGTAGATCTGTTTATTTGCTCTGATACCGTTCTTACATAAATAAACCTTCCAATGAGTTAAATAAAATTATAGGTACCTACATACAGATTAATATGGAGACTTTGTGTAACATGTAGTTAAATACATAGTAGGTACTGTTACCGTTTCGTTTGTAGATTACCTAATCTCAATTCCATTACTAAGAAGTGAGGTCACTTCCCAGTTCTCAGGAATAACTAAGCAGTCAAATAAGAATGTATATGTATAAAAAAGTAATTTTAGTTTCATTTTACGTTCACCTGGAGCCGGCTCAAAGCAAGAGTAGGAACGGGTTGGTTTTTTGTCAGTCAGAGTCTGATACTCTCGCTTCAGTAAAGCTGGGAAGAGTCATTTGATGATTTACTCCCCTCAACAATAAAGTTACTTTTAGATCGCTCGTCTACTCAACTCAGGGTTGTATAAATATTCTCAGCAAAGAGCGGCCCAAAAGTTTGTCTACGTAAATGTAGGAAATGCTTCGTAACTGGCAAGTTCCCGCCCCGAGCGGATCGCCCTCAAATTAGATACTCACTTAGTTAGGTATTCAGTTAAGGTATTTAGTATTCTTTGGAAGCTCTTTGACTATCACTCATGGGTAGCCCTTGATTGTTTTGATACATTCAAGTAGAACTCCTAAAACACTACTTTGTTGTGTAATTTATGTGGGGATTTCTGTAATATGTGACTGCACGTTTGGTGGGTGTGTTATGGCGGTGGATGGGCAACTGGCTACCGCGTGTCGCGGATCCGATATCCGCGCAGAACAACTCTTTGTGTGATCCTCACATTATTGTTCCGTGTTTGGGTGTGATGTGTATGTGAAATAGTATGTTTTTAAACGCACCCACGGACCGCTTTTTTAAAGAGAAAAAAGAAAGAAAAGTTTAGTGATCTTATTTCACATTTTTCATTAATTTAACTACAAAACATCAGCTTCATATACGTTTTGAAAACAAGAAACAAAAACAATTTCACATTTTCGCAAGAGTTTACTTCAAACCAAGAGTCTAATGCTCTCATAATTATTATGAAGCGGAGCGTAAATGTAGGTGCATAGCCCGCCGAGGATTACAGCGCATATTATTATAATAGCAATAACTAGAGAACATAAACTGGGTACAGGTGCAGGAGAGCACATCAAACACCGTGTGTACACTCCCGAAGCACCCTTGTCGTATGCTAATTATTCACAGAAACTAAATGGAGGGTAATGGAGAATATTAGCAACATGCTACGACAGCCAGCCAATCAGAATGCAGTGTCGCCTCCAACCACCTATCGGAGCGGTGCAACTAAGCCGATAAATGTTTGTAGTGCACTCTTTTGTAGAGAATAGTTAAATAAGTTTGATAGGTGTCATAAATGTGAAAGTTATTGTAATAGTAATTCAATTGATTAAAAGTTTTAAACGGTCATATTCTTCGAAATGATTTCGAACTTCATATTAATTCGTTCCAGTGAATATTAGTTATAGACCCGCTGCACTTATATCACTCTTTACGTACATACATACATTTATATGTACATAAAAAAACTTCAGCTTTCAATGCAACAGCAGTGCATTTCGGCTCAAATATTTCATAAAAAGTTGAAGCGAAGAACGAAGATAAAATGACTGCACGGTTTGTGCGGTGGCTGGGCAACCGGCTGCCGTGCAACGTGTCGCGCGTTCGATTCCCGCACGGAACAACACTTTGTGTGATCCACAAATTGTTGTTCCGGGTCTGGGTGTCATTGTGTATGTGACCTTGTATGTCTGTAAACCCACCCACGACACAGGAGAAAATCCTAGTGTGGGGCAACGTATTTTAAAAAAAATAAAAATATTATTCGATGTGATTTTAGGTCTCTCTAAAACGTCTAAAAGAACAAATTATCAGTCGTCCTGCCAATAAAATGGATAAAACAAATGAAACACCAGAAGATGTACTCAAAATTTATTTTTAATTAAGTGTCATAGTCATGCATTTGTTCAACAACAGTGTTTAGTGAGGAACATTTGCATGTAGACCCTTGACAGGCCCCGTGGCTGGTGCCCTGAAGTTGGCAGAACTCTGTACAATCATATCTGCATGTTCTTTTCTTCTTTATGGCTGCGTTTGACCCTGGAAAGAAAGAGAAGAAAGTTAACACAATAATATTGTTTTCTTCATATTCGAAAGATTTTTCTATTGATTTTTTTTCTTTTTGGCATCTGATAAATATGGAGGTGTAGGAACCTACATCTTTCCTGCGTTTATGGAATCATATTTTCCGATTATTTTATTTACAGAATCCAGAATAATTGCTATTAATTAATAATTTACTCTTTAACTTCTAAGTGTTCATTCAAATTTGTGTTTTATAGCCCATAGGTTTAATAGCGATACCTCCTCTTTGGTGCTTTAAAGTCCTATTCAGTGTTAATTGTTCCATATTTATTTAATTCAGTTCTTAATTATAAGCGTTCAGTATTATCGTTATCTTCTGTTAACCTTTGGGTGACATAGAAAGAGATACAACAGTTGCATAAACAAGATTATAATTGCTTAACAATCAAAGGATTAATTTCTTTGCGATAACTACAAATTGCATTACTACATACTTCGAGGAAATTGATAAAAATTACTGATAAGACTCGGATATCGGTTAGAAAAGAAACGGTCTGATTAATTATTCTACGGACATTGGGTGATTAGCAGAGCTCTTGCAGTGATTCAACATTGTCATAATCATAACCACATTGTTCTCTAGTCAGATTAATAGAGGGTGAATCGATTGCAAAATCATAACAATTACTTGTAAACAAATGCATCATTGTGAATTTTGTAAGCGATTAACGTTATATACCTATATACAAACACCTGTTTATTTTGCTACCTGGAGTGTTGAACCCAGACTATTATTATTCAATGATGCCTCCGGTTCGATTCCCAGGTCGGGCAAAGTATTACTGGGTTTTTTTAATAATTCTTGGCAGCAGCACGGAATTTGAAATTGTGGCACTAGGCTTCCCCCAGTTACATAATAACTCATAACATAAATAGTGAAAAGTAAATGTTACATTGTACAGTGGCATTAAGTGCCGTAATGTGCTCCTCTGCCTACCCTTTCAGGGATAAAGGCGTGATGTTATGATTTATGTTACATCTATATACTTTCCTCTCTGCCCAAGCACTCCAGACTGCATGATATTTAAGAATTTGAAACCGAAATCCGTTCCTAATCATGAATCGCATAATCCGGGAATCAAACTAACAAACCGCTTTATATAACCAGTGCATTGTATATAATACGTTAATTATAATACGTTCTTTATAAACGACGGTTAAAAAAACCGACTTGCCGATTCGGAGTCGTGGAGGACCTGACGGGTAACCGGGGCTCCGGCTCGACGTGCAGGAGAAGGAACGGGGTGGTTTTAGTCAGTAAGAGTCTGACACTCCCTTCCGCCTCACCCAGGCGGGAGCAGTCAATCGATGATTATACCCCCTTAAAAAAAGCCCCTCATTTTTTGAAGTTGGTTAATTGATATACTAAAACCTTCTCCTAAGTGTAACAAACACTTTTCTGAAAACCGCATCAAAATCGGTTCTGCACATCGCGAGATAGAAGTCACAAATATACATACATATACACACTCCATTTTTGAAGTCAGTTAAAAATGTAAATAAATAATAAAAAATCCTAGTATAGGTACTATTGATCGGCTTTATGATACATGTTTGTGAACCAGTCTCTTCAAATCTTAAACCGGTCTAACGAGCTACCTTATTTTTTTTATGGCATAAGCCGGTAAACGAACAGACGGATCACCTGATGGAAAGCAATAGGCGTCGCCCATGGACACCTGGAACACCAGAGGCGTTACAAGTGCGTTATCGGCCATTTGGGGATTAGGAGTTTGAGGATCGTTGGGGATTCAGGGATTGGGGAGATTGGGGAAGGGGAGAGTAATTGGGCCTCCGGTAACACACGGTATCACTCCGGTCGAGCCGGCCCATTCGTGCCGAAGCATGACTCTCCCACACTTATAAAGTTATTATCTTTGTTTGCCATAAACTATTTATGCTTTATTTTTTTTAATAGTAGGTATATGAGTAAATCTTAAACAGGTCTAACGAGCTACCTTATAAAGTTGTTATCCTAGTTTTCCTTAAACTATTTATACTTTTTTTTTTTTTTTTATAATCCTAGTTTACTATTGATCAGCTTTGTGATACACGTTTGTGAGTGTAATTACGAGTAAATCTTAAACCGGTCTAACAAGCTACCTTATAAAGTCTTTGTTTTCCTTAAACTATTTATACTTTTTTAATAGGTGTTTATTTGAATTGTTTCATAATCCATAGTTCCTAGTTTCCTATTTTATTGATATCGCCTGTAATGTCGGCGTACTTAATTAACATTTGGGTACGATTCTCTTTTTTACGGTTATATAGCCGTATTTTGTTCTTGGTATGGCTTTTTTTAACGTGTTTTCCTCATGGATACCCTTTGTCTAGACGTTGTGCGACCGACACCAGGTTATGTCGGACTCTTACCAACTAAAACTCACACTCAATCCCAGAAAACATTAAGAGGATCGCTGGTCACTGATTCTTGGTATACCTACTCAATTTAAAAAATATCTGCTTAGTTTTCTCTATTTTTCTAAAATGTATAATATATGCAATGTATGAAATTATATGGATTTTCTCAGTTCAGTTGGTGTTGTAGAAGGTTATATAAACAACAATACAGATGTTCCAATAACAATAAAAGGAAATTATCCTCTATGACGTCAATAGAACGAAAATAGACAAGGTTAAGAAAGTTTTTAACTTACCTCAACAGTTTTTTTTTTTTAAATCATTTAACTAATAGTTATAAAAGTTACGTAATCGTTAATCTTTGTTAATCCATAAATTACTATTTTAATTAAAAATTTTACCATAAGGTAATAAGCATGGAGTCTGACATTGCGCCCGTAAATGAACTCACTTCATACTACACAGGACTTATACTAACAAAGCTAGTGAAAAGTATTTAGATATTTACATCGTATACAACAAGGTGTGAGCTTACATAGAATATAGCATTACATATCTATGCCTTCAATAGACTACATTCTCTACACAGCCCTACAAGTAACTAGATACGCCATCGGTCATATAGACTGAGACAAATGGGGTCTGTTCAGTAGCTCGAATCTTAGAACATGCATTGTAATTCATGTTATCGATCTAGTAAACAAACACATACGCTTCCAGTTCAGTATGTAGCGCAATGACCTGTCTACTTGGTGAAGGTCGTGAAGTTAACTGAACTATCGACAATAAAATTGTCTTAGGTTCGATTATCGAGCTGTGCAAAGTTGAAAGTACAGTACTGTCAGTGTGTTTGATAGTAAATATGATTAGTTTTTATACAGTAGACAACAGTCAACATTATTAACTTGTAATTACCTAAGTTGAAATTCTATTGCAGATGTATTGGCGTCTGTTCTAAGTCGGGGAAATACATTTATTTGTGATAATACCAAGAACATTTGTAACAAATAACATCTGTCTGCCCTTTTTATTTAAGTCAAGCTTTATTAGAGACAATCAAGGTTAAAATTTCATACCTACTCATCAGGAATATACCTATATTTTACGCCTTATCATTTTTTTTTAAACAGTCACCTCAACTCACCTCGGCTGCAAATCCAATTACAGTAACTGACATATTTACAACAAACAAAAGAAAAAGAAAAGTAAAAGTTAGTTAAAACAAGAGTTTACACAATTCATAAGTTGAATATTCATGAATATCTTTGAATGTCCGTCTCCATATATGAAGACATAGTTGTGTTTAGGTGATAACCTATAGTAATAAAAAAGAATGCACTTACATACAATAATATCATCATATACAAATTGTAGTATTAGGTTACCGGCTACATTATTCATACGGACCTATGACATTGCGAATGAATTCCAGAATGTATTTAAACCTGATAAGGAATTCATCTGTTTATCACAAGACATAATGATGATTTTATTTCTTTAAAATTGAACTACTTATCCAGATAAATGTTAAACAGATTCATGACTTATGTTCATAAAAATAAAGGCTAATTTTCTTTACCGGTCTGGTGGATACAGATCATCATAAAGTTAATAAATAAAATACGTATAGGTACTTTCAATGTGAAACAAAAGAGACCGAGCATAACGTTGTCTCTTTTATGACATAGTGGAACCAATTAATCAGATATTAATTTTATTAATTCTATGAATTAAATGTCAACAAAACGCAATTCTTATACAAACCTTGTATACTTAAGCCTAATATCACAAGAACTATGATAAATAAACTAAAAAACTTCACTCTCATTGTTTATGCTAAATTGTGACTTGTAAAGAAAACAATTTCACTGGGTATTTTTTGCACATTGTGCAGTAAATATTGTGTATTATTTGCACAGCTTCATCGAACTGATGAGACGATCCGATCGACTCATGCCGTTGAATGAAGGCAACTTCAGTTCGCTAAAAGCGCCGCGCCGCCTCGTGGCTAAAAGTAAAAATGTTTATGCATATTTTTTTAACAGCGGAAAAACCGGTTTTGGAATCGTTGTGATAACGTTTTCTGTTTATTTAAATACTAAGAGTCAAGTAAAAAGCCGTGTACATTGTATCACTAATTTATAAACAAATATTTGGAAGAATGTTCTTCCCCGATACAATAGGATTACTAACACAAGGGTAGGTATGCTTAACACTGTATACCTGATAAAAGCATTTACGTTTAACTTTAAACCTATAAAATGCATAAATATAAGGCAAGAACAGCCTCGTTGACCGAGTGGTAGCAAGTGCGACTGCCGGGCAAGGGGTCTCGGGTTCGATTCCCGGGTCGGGCAAAGTATTACTGGGTTTTTAAAAAAAATCTTAGTAGTAGCACGGAGTCTGGAAATGTGCCCGGTATATGACAATAGGCTCACCCCCTATTACATGGGACTCATAACATAAATAGTGAAAAGTGGGTGTTACTTCTGTGTGCACCTCTGCCTACCCCTACAGGGATAAAAGGCGTGATGTTATGTTATGTTATGTTATAAGGCAAAAAAAAAGTATTTAAGAATTGGAGTTAGTAACATTTCCGCTGAGATGATGCGGAGCGAGGGGGACTGGGATGCCGTCTCCTCCTTTTGCGAAGCAGTCATGCTAGCTAAGGAGGAGGCGGGACGCGTGAGGCAGCGAAGCGCTGCCTCCTCGCAACCCAGCCGTCGCGAAGGACACACCGGGCGTCGGGGATCGCGGGACGATCTCCGGCCACCGTAAGCGCGGGCCTGCGGACGGCGAGCATGGGTGGCTCCCCGTCCGACCAGCAACAGACCCGAGCGTACGGCGCGTCGCGTTCCGCGCGCGCCTCAAAGAGCCATCAGACCACCACAGATGGGGCCCAGTAGGGCCGATGCCGATTCGGAGTCGCGGAGAACCTAACGGGTAACCGGGGCTCCGGCTCGACGTGCAGGAGAAGGAACGGGGTGGTTTTTAGTCAGTAAGAGTCTGACACTCCCTTCCGCCTCACCCAGGCGGGAGAAGTCATTCGATGATTTTCCCCCCTTAAAAAAAAAAAAGGGGTCTCGGGTTCGTTTCCCAGGTCGGGCAAAGTATTACTGGGTTTTTAAAAAATTTTCCAGACCACCACAGATGGGGCCCAGTAGGGCCGATGCCGATTCGGAGTCGCGGAGAACCTAACGGGTAACGGGGCTCCGGCTCGACGTGCAGGAGAAGGAACGGGGTGGTTTTTAGTCAGTAAGAGTCTGACACTCCCTTCCGCCTCACCCAGGCGGGAGCAGTCATTCGATGATTTTCCCCCCTTAAAAAAAAAAAGGGGTCTCGGGTTCGTTTCCCAGGTCGGGCAAAGTATTACTGGGTTTTTAAAAAATTTTCAGTTGTAGCACGGAGTCTGGAATTGTGCCCGATATATGGCAGTAGGCTCACCTCCTATTACATGGGACTCATAACATAAATAGTGAAAAGTGGATGTTACATTGTGCAGTGGCATAGTGTGCACCTGTGCCTACCCCTTCGGGGATAAAAGGCGTGATGTTATGTTGTGAATAAATTCATCAACAATTATTTTCATCATATTCTCTTTATTAACAGTTGCTGCCAATATTTACAAACACACTCCAATCACCTAGATAACTCTATCAAAGCTCCCACGTTGAACCTGATAACAACCTTCTTGTGCAAGAAACTTTCTTCATAATCCTTTAATCAATTTGTAATGCAATAATTACTTATCTGTACCACCAACAAAGAATATGGATTAATGACTAATAAAATATTCCTCGTTTATGTGAAGTCCCTATGTCGCAATGCCGCAACGTCCCCTATATATAGTAACCACAGGAAGGTATAATCATGCAGTACCAGTATCGGTCTTCATTGGATTAAGTACTAGTGTTTCCAACGAAATAATGTACTCCAAATTCATCATTGTCTTAGCGACAGTTTGTATAGCAAACGCTTCTGTGGTCATCAACGTCTTTGATGGTAATTATTTATGTTTTTTTTGGATTTATAGCCTTTAGTGGTCTGCATTCAAATTTTGATTGAATTTGTTTACTGTCTTCATTTAGTCTGCAACTAAGTTACCTAAATGCTATTTTTGGCTGGCTGTTATTGATAAGCCAATTAGCAGCCAAATGTTTTCCGTCTGCAATGTTTTGTCATCCTATGACACATTTGCGTCAATAAATGCTCCTAAAATCATCATTATTATCACTTCCTGCTCCGCCTCGTTGGTCCAGTTTCGCTTCCAAACAAGTAACTCAAATTCGATTCCCAGGTAGAACAAGGTATTGTGGGGATTTATTCGATCTTCTAATTCGATTAAATTCATTATACCGGAACTTTTGTTCAAAAATTTTATTAATAGTGCATCTCTACAACCGTCTTCAAGGATCTTGACGCGTGATTTAATAAGATCATTTTTATTTTTAAACAGATGATCCTGATTTTGGTGTGAAGAGTGAAGAAAAAGATTGCAACCCTACCGCCTGTGACCAGCTCTGCCGTAGACTCAAGTTCCCCGGTGGTGTTTGTGTGAACGGACGCTGCAAATGTGACAACTTCCTCAGTGAAAATGGTAAGAAGATTTCTCTATTAAGTAGTTGTATGCCAAGATTGTCTATTAATGACCTTGAGGATATTGGATTACATCCTTAATTTATTATACAAAAAAAAAATTCAAAAATTATTAATTCACAAAATAGAGGCACTGGATAAACTTTTTGTTTAAAAATATATCGAAATCTCTAGAGGTAGTTTAATCTCTGCTTATTTTTTATTTCTTTTTAAACTGTCACAATGTCAGTAACCGCGATTACAGTAACTGAGGAACCCTACTACGCCTTTGGAAATTATACATTATGTTATTAGAATTAAAATATTTCATTTCTAATCTTTTCCAGATATTGAACCTGAAATATCAAACTACAGTCAGTTAGAGGATTTGGGAGTTAAGGGTAAGTACAAAACTAGATACTAAGATAAACTAAACGTATTCTTTATTAATTCTAAGATGGTAATTTAATTAGTACGGATATTTATTTATTTTCTAAACTAATTATTTTCAACTTAGACGGTCCAGAGACTGAATCTGTGGTTAAAAAGACTGAGTGCAACCCAATCTACTGTGATGACCGTTGTCGTAAACTCAAGTTCCCAAGCGGCGCCAATGTAAAAGGTCATTGCAAATGTGACCATACCCATAATGCTGAAGGTATAATAATTATCACCACCACCATCATGTCATCCACAAGACATCTACTACATTACTATAATACTATTATATACTACTTTAATATATAGTTCATACAAATATGTTTTAATGGGAACAGACGGATCACCTGATGGGAAGCAACTGACGTCGCACATGGATGGGGGGACACCAGAGGATAACAGAGGCGTTAAATAATTGTTCGCCAAAGGCATTACCTTTTGGGGATTAGGAATTGGAGGATTGTTGGGAATTCAGTGATTGGGCAGATTGGGAAAAATGGGGAGGGTTTTTAGGCATCAAGTAACCTCACTCACACGATGAAACATAACGCAAGCGTTGTCTCGCGTCGGTTTTCTGTGAGGTCTTGGTATCATTCCGGTCGAGCCGGCCCATTCGTGCTGAAGCATGGCTCTCCCACACTTTATGTAGGTTTAGTTATGCTCTAGTCATCATCAGCAGCCCGTGACAGTCCTCTGACTACCATAATATCCATGCACTTTAAAAATATAATATTTTTTATTTCAGAAGCAGTGTTAGAATTATCGCCGTCTGATTTAGAAGCAATGTCTTCACTCGAAGGTAAATTCAACTAATGTTATAAGATATTGGTCAATAATAAAATTGATACCAAATAAATATTCATTGACAATAATAGCTAATCTACTATATTTTCTTTTTTTATGAATTTGCCCTATTAATTTTTGTACGAAACTGAGGACATGATTTTGATTTTGTTTTGTAATATTGTGTAAAAAATCTTTATTTAATTTAGATGAGCCACTGTCTGAGGTTGAAAAAGTTGAGAGGAGCAGTTGTAGCCTTTCTGCCTGCGAACAATACTGCCACAGACTCAAGCTGCCCGGTGGTGCCTGTGTGAACGGCCGCTGCAAGTGCGACAAGTTCCTTAGTGATCAAGGTACACACATTCATATTAATTTACATTATAACATAACATAACATCACGCCTTTTATCCCCGAAGGGGTAGGCAGAGGTGTACATTATGCCACTGTACAATGTAACACCTACTTTTCAATATTTATGTTAAGAGACCCATGTAATAGGGAGTGAGCTTTTTGCCATATACCGGGCACAATTCCAGACTCCGTGCTACTACTGTGATTTTTTTGAAAAACCCAGTAATATCTTGCCCGACCCGAGAATCGAACCCGAGACCGCTTGCCCGGCAGTCGCACTTGCGACCACTCGGCCAATGAGGCAGTTTACATTATAACCAATTTTAAATCTGATATGCGTTAAAATATACACAATTTTAGAAAAATACAAGTTCATACTGTGCTTATTAATTTTCTGTCCAATTTATAGTCCTTTTTGTACTTTTTGTCATTTTCCAAGAGGCCATCTTCACTACTTAAAATTTCACCATCAATAGAAATAGACCTTCAAACGACCATTTATGAGGTGTACAGTCACACTGCAGGTTTTTATTGACGCCAATCATCATTATTGTTTTAGATGAATTGGAGAATGGATTCTCTGCAAATGACTGCAACCCTACCGCCTGTGACCAGCTCTGCCGTAGACTCAAGTTCCCCGGCGGTGTTTGTGTCAATGGACGCTGTAAATGTGACAACTTCCGTAACTCTGAAGGTACCTACATCATTTTCCTTAGAAGTCTCACCTCTAACTTCCAATTTTATTCACCAAACTCCATCATGGTTCACAAATTAATAGCTAAATCTATTTCAGATGCAGTTTTAGAATTATCACCCTCTGTCTTAGAAACATTCTCATCACTCGAAGGTATGGACTTAAAACTTAGTACTTCAAAGCTGTATCAACTCATTATGGTTTCTCTTGAAACCTAGTTGCTGGAATTACAATCGGCAGAATTAACAAAATATTCTCATTTCAGATGAGCCTCTATCTGAGGTTGAAGAAGCTGAGAGAAGCAGTTGTAGCCTTTCTGCCTGCGAACAATACTGCCACAGACTCAAGCTGCCCGGTGGTGCCTGTGTGAACGGCCGCTGCAAGTGCGACAAGTTTCTTGCTGAAGAAGGTACGAATAGCTGAACTACTCAGCTTTCATTTACAATAAATTTACAGACTTTTTATCATCTAGTAGTCTATCTGACACAATTTTTCTAATGTGGTATTTTGTATGAATTAAAATTATAAATATTTTTATTTTAGTTGAATTAGACAATGAGTTTTCGGCAAACGACTGCAACCCTACCGCCTGTGACCAGCTCTGCCGTAGACTCAAGTTCCCCGGTGGTGTTTGTGTCAATGGACGTTGCAAATGTGACAATTTCCGTAACGCTGAAGGTATAATAAAATTGTTCTAAGTACATAGTCTCACTTATGGTTTAATATTCATTGCACTCAGATACTACTTCTTATTCTTTTCCCACTCTGGTTTATATAACACTAACTTTCATTTCAGAAGCAGTGTTAGAATTATCACCCTACGACTTAGAAGCATTCTCTGCACTGGAAGGTATGAACTTAATAACTACATTATTCATACATTTCAAATCAATCCAAAGTTTTATATTCGTCAACAGAAATATTTTTATACATCTTTCTCATAAACTCCAACTAGATTAAGGATTGCATTGAGTTTTAAGAGTTGCATATAGTATTTTACTTATAGCGATTACCAATTTATTGATTAAACCCTTTTAGCAATTTTTATTTTGCTATGGATTTGCTTTGATAGCTCCTTTGGCAACCGATAGGATTGATATAATGTACTTATTTCAGATGAGCCCTTATCTGAAGCCGAAGAAGTTGAGAGGAGCAGTTGCAGCCTTTCTGCCTGCGAACAATACTGCCACAGACTCAAACTGCCCGGTGGTACCTGCGTGAACGGCCGCTGCAAGTGCGATAAGTTTCTTAGTGATCAAGGTATACAAGCAAAACTTTAATGTCTCTAATAATCATCATTATTAACTTTAGATTATATATAGATTCAAAAACACGATAAACCACTTTACTAATTCAGTTTAGTATACATTCATACTAATCTTATCCTTCTTTTACATCATAATATTTTGCTGAATTAACAATTATTAAATAAAAATGATTAACATGAGCCTTAATTTCGAAATTTTATATCTATCAGATACCATTAACATCTCAGCTGTATCACCAAAAGATTTAGTTTGCATCCCTGATGAATGTGAACAACAATGTCGCAAAATTGGCTTTCCGGGTGGTGCTTGTGGCCCCACGGACACAAGCAACACTATCTGTCGATGCAACGCCTCTTTTCAAACAGGAGGTAATGTCAACTACAGATCAGCTTTCTTCCATACAAGAGTTTCTATGACACACGGACCGCCAACCACTTTATAATGATATTTGTATTTCATTTTATACCTTAGTATTTAATTTGTTTGTAGCTTTCTTTTACATTTCTTACCTGCTTACCTCAATTACCTTTAGTCTGTTATTGTCTTTATATTTAGTATTATCTTCATCAGTTCTGAATCTAACCTGATCTTGTTTCCCATAGTTGAGACATTTACTCCAGACGTCCATGAAGTGACACCAGCAAAGCTTATTGCAAACGATTGTGACCTCAGATCTTGTGAGTTCATTTGTCGTACAATGAAATTGGCCCGTGGCGCCTGCATCGCCGGTCGCTGCCAATGCTTTTTACCAGCAGGTACTTGTGCAACTGAAAAAATTACGATATTTAATAATTATACCTAAACATTTATCTTGCAACAAAATATGTATACATTGAAACCTTCAACAGAACGTAGTATGCTTTTTTGCATTACGATAATACAGTTGGAATGTAGCCAGCAAATTAACCTATAAGTCTTCTTATGGCCCTTATTTGTAAATAAAGTTTTCATGTTTATTTAATAGGTTTGGTTGACGCCAACTCCGCACCCGTTCTGGAACCAGCAAAGAATCAAAGTCACGGTAAATGCAGACAAGGACTGTGTGACCTGATCTGTCGCAAACTGAAGTACGATCGTGGTGAATGTGTCGATAACAAATGCAAATGTTACAAAAATGAAGGTAATTATATTGAAATTACGAACTAAATTACAAATGAACATCATTTATATAGAATTTGCTAGAACATCTTTTAAGAAACTATCACACAGTAAAGTTGTTTTTAGTTGAACTAGGTATATATTTATTTCTCTATAAAAAATAAACATGATGTCTTGTTATAGGTCCAGTCAAAGTAAACTTTGGATCAGTTGTGGAACCAGCAAGGAATAACACTCACGGTAAATGCAGACAAGGATTATGTGATTTGGTATGCAAAAAATTGAAGTACAATCGCGGTGAATGTGTCGACAACAAGTGCAAATGCTACAGAGATGAAGGTAATATACTATAATAATGTACTAGGTGAAAAAATATAGATCAAAGAATCCCTGAAAAGCTAAAGTTGGTATTTTTTTATAACATGAGATTTATGATATACTGAAAAGGTACGGTTATTGCCTCGTCTACAAGCACTGATAATAATTCAACGAATGGCCGAATGGCAGAAGCTGATGCTTCAAAATCTCTTCCAATTTTTTCGTCTATCATTAAGTATATAGGTACATAACCCATGACTCTTGTATCATAAATTTCATTTGTAATTTGAATTCTATTTGTTACAGCTAAGAGTGAAAATGATATGTCTGTATCTAAATTCTCAGAAAACCTTACCAAAGTGAAATGTACCAAACGTGTATGTGACCGCATGTGTCGCTCACTAGATTACAAAGGGGGTAACTGTAAGAATGGTAAATGTTGGTGCTACGGTCCACCCAAAAAGTCGGGTAAACGTTTTTGCTATTCAAATAACTTTTGCTTTAATTCAGTCAAAGTTATTATTTCTATTTCATTTTTTTTGCTATAGTTAAAAAAATGTATTGTACGTTTCTGTGTAGGACATATTAAACTAGGTTTTACTACTTTCAGGTCGATTGATGTTACAAGATACCGATAATGAAGAACCAGAACAAACTAAACAGGACGTCAGCTTGGAAAAAGGTAAAATATAATTCATATCAAAATATAGTTCACTGAAAATATAGAAATCCATAGATTAGGTCCAAAACTATTAAAGCCACAATTTTTTCAAAGAGAGAGATTCAGTCTTGTTCTATAGCTATCTTATTTCAAAACATTCAAAATATGTACATTCGTAATATAAATAAATATTTTTCATTTAGATGACAACAATGTGCCCATTGCTGAACTCCCAAAAGTCAAATGTACTAAAGGTGTATGCGACCAAATGTGTCGTTCCTTAGATTATAAAGGGGGTAACTGCAAGAATGGTAAATGTTGGTGCTATGGTCCACCCAAGAAGCCAGGTATCTAAACCATTCTTTCCAGTTTTGTATTTTTATTGTGCAAACCATCTTTATATAGCCCCATAATAGAGGCATTTCCTAAGAACAGTAACAAATTTTTAACGATAGGTCTGAATAAAAAGATACTTTTTGGTCTTTGGTGACGGAAACAGGCTTGTCCTGCAATATAAATGTTTTATTAACATGGTGATGGTATCCCAATATTAATTCATCTTTGTGAACTCCTTCTAAAATCTGCAACCGATTACTTGGTACTGGTCTCTGCATCAGTCGATCAGCCTGAACGTAGCTGTTCTAACATTGGTTGTTTCATTATGGATTTTGTTTCAAAGGCTGTAATGCAAATTTAAGCCTTTAGAATTAAAAGTTGCTGTTGATTGAATAAAAATGAACACTTAGTATTATTTCAGAAATAATTAACCAAAAATGTTTCCATTTCTAGCTCGATCCGGCGTAGAAGAAGCTGCCAATGAGGAACAAAAAGAAATTAGCTTGGACGACGCTACAGAAAAAGGTAAAATTTTATAAAAAATCTGATAATCTAAAATGTTTACATATTTCTCCAATGATAAATTTCCATTCCTTCGAAAATGAGTATTTCCAAAGCACATACCTTAGCTCAGCCCGAACTCGTAGAGTGACTTACAACTACAAAAATGTGAAGATAAATGTAGATTAAGAAATATTGAATGTAATAAGTTTTATTCTCAGCTCCTCCGATGTACAGAGCCCTCAACAAAGTAGAAAAAGGAGTAAGCCAAGACGACGCTACTGAAAAAGGTAAAAAAATCAATTTGAATCATTATTGAATATGATGAATTTACATTCCTTCAAAAATGAGTATTTCCAAAGTACATACCTTGGCTCAGCACGAACTCGTAGAGTGACTTACAACTACAAAAATGTGAAGATAAATGTAGATTAAGAAATATTGAATGTAATAAGTTTTATTCTCAGCTCCTCCGATGTACAGAGCCCTCAACAAAGTAGAAAAAGAAGTAAGCCAAGACGACGCTACAGAAAAAGGTAAAATTTTATAAAAAATCTAATAATCTAAAATGTTTACATATTTCTCCAATGATAAATTTACATTCCTTCGAAAATGAGTGTTTCCAAAGTACATACCTTAGCTCAGCCCGAACTCGTAGAGTGACTTACAACTACAAAAATGCGAAGATAAATGTAGATTAAGAAATATTGAATGTAATAAGTTTTATTCTCAGCCCCTCCGATGTACAGAGCACTCAACAAAGAAGAAAAAGGAGTAAGCCAAGACGACGCTACAGAAAAAGGTAAAATTTTATAAAAACTCTAATAATCTAAAATATTTACTAGAATTTCCATTCCTTCGAAAATGAGTATTTCCAAAGTACATACCTTAGCTCAGCACGAACTCGTAGAGTGACTTACAACTACAAAAATGCGAAGATAAATGTAGATTAAGAAATATTAAATGTAATAAGTTTTATTCTCAGCTCCTCCGATATACATAACCCTCAACAAAGAAGAAAAAGGAGTAAGCCAAGACGACGCTACTGAAAAAGGTAAAAAAATCAATTTGAATCATTATTGAATATGATGAATTTACATTCCTTCGAAAATGAGTATTTCCAAAGTACATACATACCTTGGCTCAGCACGAACTCGTAGAGTGACTTACAACAAGAAAAATGCGAAGATAAATGTAGATTAAGAAATATTAAATGTATTAAGTTTTTTCTTAGCTCCTCCGATGTACAGAACCCTCAACAAAGAAGAAAAAGATGTAAGCCAAGACGACACTACTGAAAAAGGTAAAAAAATCAATTTGAATCATTTTTTTTTTATTTTTTACTAATGATTTTATTTTTACTATGAACTTGTAGAGCACCCCTATTACATGGGACTTATAATACAATGAACGATTATTTTGCTTTACACTTAGAACGGACACCTCTTCTTAAAAGCCCGATTAGGGATTAAAAAACGTTATTATTTATTTTTTACGTTTTAAATTATTTGAATGAAAGAGTTTTTATTCTTTCTTCTATAATATATTTATCCGTTATAAAACTTTTGTCCTTTTTTGAAAAGCTTGTTTTTTTTAAAAGCTAAACCATCGCGTCAAACACGAGCTGCTCGAAAGGCAACGTGCACTAAAAAAGCGTGCAAGAAGAATTGCGAGTTCTTCGGTGGACCTAGTTTTTGTTGGGGAGTCATTTGTATTTGTTTGTAAATACCCATCATCTTCAACATCATCATATCAGCCAGAAGACACCCTATGCTGAACATTGGCCTCCCCCAATGACTTACAGATCAGCCATTTGGAAAGGATCTGCATCCAGCACTTCGTATGCCATGCATTTAATTGTAAACAGTATTTTTGTACCTTTGTATTTTGTAAGTAACGTTAAACATTAATCTTAAATTTTTTGTACATTGAAATTGTATATCTCTTACGGAGTATAACATATTATTATTAAATAAATTTTTATATAAAATATACTTTTTTATTTTCTTTTACTCCTTATCCTATTTACTCGTCGCGGATAAGCTAACGGGTTACCGGGGCTCCGGCTCCAAGCGCAGAAGAAGGAACGAGGTGGTTTTTAGTCAGTAAGAGTCTGATACTCCCTCCTGCCTCACCCAGGCAGGAGCAGTCATTCGATGATTATTACCCTTAAAAAAAACCTATTTCCTCAAGTATATGTTTACACATTTAAAAATACATACAAACCAATGGACCCTAACCCACATCACCTCAATTATACATACATTTTTACAAAACCAATTTACTATTGATATCAGTAGGACATCAATAGCATATTTACATAACTACTGAAAAGTGGATATTACATTTAGGGCCTATTTCACAATATCTGGCCGTTATCTACCAGATAAATTCGAATTAAGAACGTAATTTATATGAACTATCTGTCACATAAGTTTATCAGGTACTTATATGGAGGTGGTGAAACCGGCGCTTAATGTATACTCCTTGATCTCACTATCTCAATTAAAGAACTTATTAAGTAATAAAATATGTAGACATTTTATTGAAAGAGATTCAATAAAATGTCTACATATTTTATTACTGTTTCATAATGTAAATAAAATCTTGTAATATATGTTATTAAAAACGTATCTAATAATATATATTAATTCACAATTTTGTTACAAAGTAGGATTCTCCAAACTTCTGCACTAGTTACAAACTCTGTCATTGAAGAAGATTTTTTTTTTCAGTGAAATCTGTTTCGCGTCATCGTCGATCAATGTGCAATAGCGTTCTGTGCAGGGAGGCGTGCAAAAAAACCAGTATCATAGGCCTTTGTATATACCACGAATGTTACTGTTTCTAAATGAATCTATTGTTATGAATACAATTCTCTATTAGTAATAGTTTTTATACCTTTACACTTTTTTAACAGTGAAGTGAAATATATCTTTGTATAGATACCACTTTTGTGTTTAGTGACATTCAAGTTGTATATTTTTATGAACAATAATATATTAATTAAAACTGTAATGATAAATACTTTTGTTTTCTTTTGCGTTTTGTCCTATTTCCCACCTAAAATATCATTGACACAATTCATAATTATATGCAATGAGAAGTACAAGTTTCTTGATTCCTTTTTACGTTTTAATTCCGCCACATGTATTTTTGTTCCAAAAATAAAGTACCTTCAATGTAATTTTATGTACTTTATCTATACATATGTTTAAAAGAAAGTCGTGTTAATTCAAGAACGACTAAATCGCTTTGGCTGTTATTTGGTAGAACCAGGAGACGGACATGGGATACTTTTTATCCAAAGACTTTTTGAAAATCTTACGGGAAAGAGAAAATCTAGTTTTTTTAACAAATGCGCGCCGCGCATGGACACCCGCAACACCAGAGGAGTCACAGGTGCGTTGCGTATTATTGGTAAACAATGTGGAATGAAAAAATACTTTAAAATACAATTGACTAAAAATGTTTTTTTTTAATAATTATGATCACCTTCTTAATATCAGGTACATAGCGAATTATCACACTCATTCAAATAATATTTATATTTAGCTATACAATCGAAACTACACAAGGAAAAAGCGAACAAACACACAAAAAAATCCTTCAATTTTTCACTTTCCCGAACTTCAAATGAAATTGAAAACAAAGTTCAGTGTTTTTTTAACGAAATGAATTGCGTATTTTCATTTCGTTTGATCGCAAGCTAAACGGAAAGCCACTTTTTGTCGAAAACTTTACGCCAACTTAAACTAAACAATAAAAATAAAAGTTGGACGTACGAATGAAAAGAAATTCGTCTTGAAGACGTCAAAGAATAAAACGAACGATAGGCAGGCGTTGAGACTTGAGTACCTTCTTAACCGAGGCTGCCCTTTGTATAAGTCCTTACAATTAACTTGGAGGACAACATCTTCAGACTTGCTCGATTGTTATCTCCGAACTTTGAAGAAGTGGCCCGGTTGGAAGATCAAAGATTAAATAACAAATATGTCTACCGCCAGTTACTAACGTTTCATTAGATTTATTGCCCTCGTAAACAAACATGTGGATTTTCACTTCGTAAACAAGATCTTTAAACAGATAGGTTCTAATATCTAGAAATTAAACAAAGGGTAGTCCACAAGTTTCTATTACGCTTATTTTGTTTTATGATTAAACTAGTGATAGTAGTGGGATTTGTGTAGATTTAGTTATGTCTATTTGATAGAAAACTTAATAAAATATACGCTACAACTTCAAAAGTTCCTTCTAGAAAATCATGTGAAAATCAGTTCGATAATTTTTGAGTTCATTATATACAGACAGATGAGGTGCGATCATTCTTTTAACACGACATTTACACTTGAATTAATAATATATTTTCCTTTCATTATTCAAGAAAAAATTACATTACCTTTCTGCCCTCTACATTAACGCCGAATAATATTCATAGCTAAATATTTTCATAACATCCTAATTCATCTGGAAAAATCTAATTAAGCGAAAATCTTATATAATTATCGGCCATCTTGCGTAACGGAGTCATCACATTGACACTTCAATATTGTCTCTAAATATACGGTGAGGCCGTCCTCGGCCAGTCCACAATAATTTTCTATTTACGGCCTATAAAGGCTTTCATTTCTAGCCACTTGTTATTGGAAAAGCGTTCTTGACGTCCCCTGTGTAATCTCTGGCTGTTTGAGTAAATAAAGCACTGATTTATATCATTGCCTGCGATACAGAAATGTGTTATTTATGTATTCTGTGCTGATTTTGTAACGTTATTCGTTGTATAATGGGTTTTATTCATGTTAATTGCTTTTAAGATCAAATTGGGGTATCAATATATGTTTTATGTTGTGATGACTCTAAACTATTTCGATTAGTCACTTAAAGGGCTAGTATAATACCTGCTCAAGGCCTTCTCTAATACATGCTGAACTAGTCCCATTACATTGCAGACTTGGGACTGAATATGTACCTATTAGTATTTATAAACTAACATGTAATACATTACATGGCACTTGTTTTTAGCGTGTAAAATATTTTTTTTTCTTTTTTTCTTCTTTCTATAATCAGAGTGCTAATATTTGTGTGGAATAAAAACTGAGATATCTTACTCGGTAATTGTTCAACCTCTTGTATGCCAGTATATGAGACACAATAGTAAACACATTGTGTCTTGCGTACATCTGCGATCACTAAATACCACGAGTTAATCAAATATTCATTGAACCAGTTAATACCTACAACATTATTTTCAACTAACTGTAAATCTGTTCTGCACCCTCCAACTATAGCTAGCAAAACAAAACAGACACGAAATTGCAATTCTCATTAAGATTCCTCGTTCATAATTCGTCCATCATTCTCACATTGTGTGTACTGAACAAGTTCTTTAGAACAAACTTAATTAACTCAGTTGCAATGTCTTCAGAATTTAGGCTCTCTCATTAAAAGTTAAATTAATATGCGTCACGTGTGGTTGTTCTGCGGTCCACAAGAATACGATCTTATTTTAGTTCTGTGGAAGCTAGAGTTAGGTTTTGTGTTTCTAAAATAGAGGAGATTGGATTGTGTTAGTTGTTGATTGAATGACTGACTGCACGGTCTGCGCGGTGGTTGGGCAACTGACTGCAGCGCAACGTGTCGCGGGTTTTAATTCCCGCACGGAAGAACTCTTTGTGTGATCCACATATTATTGTTCCGGGTCTGGGTGTCATGTGTATGTGAGCTTATATGTTTGTACGCACGCATTCACAGAAGAAAATCCTAGTGTGAGGCAAGGTTTTAAAAATAAAAAAATAGCGTTTCTGGGTACCTAAGCCACCTGTCAAGATTGGAAATTATGGTACTTGTTCGGTAGTGGACTGTGTTAATTGTATAAATATTTCATGTAATTGGAGGCTAACGAGCAGATGGATCACGTGATGATAGGCGATCAGAGTGGTCCATTGACAACTGCAATACCAGAGGACATCCTTCTGCTTCATCAACTTACAACTAGTTTCTATAACTTCTCTAAAATGAATCTTAATTTAATATTACACATTTAGTCCTAAAACATAGAAAAGACACTATCATCTTATACCCATCATTTCAATAATCAAAACGTAAAAAACAGTCAGTACATAAGTATTAAGTGAAACATGAAGTTCCTAACAATACCAAAATAGAAATGTCGCGGATCTCATGAATATTGATGTTGTGTAAAAACCAACTTTCCTTTGAAACCTCTGTCTACATAGAGATAGTTATAAAGAGGACTAAAGATACTATTGTTATGTTAAACTTTGATACAAATGCAGACAGAAGAGCCCCTGGACTTGATAATGTAATGTCATGTATTACAATAGGTAATAAGGCAGTCTATATTGATGAAGATTTTATGATTCTATTTCTGGAAAGGATAAACAATGTGCCTCATCAATCGAGTGGTCGCAAGTATGACTGATAAGCATGGAGTCTTGGTATAGAATCCTGGGTCGACAATAGAGGTTTTATCGATTTTTCAATAATTTTTCAGTAATAGTACAGAATCTAGACTTAGATAATAATATAGCACTCCATAGTGCATGGGACTTGAGACTCACAACGTAACTGAAAAGTGGGTATTATAAAACTCTAACTACTGTCACTGAGTTAAGTTAAATACTTGTACTTCTTCTACCCTTATCTATAGGATAGAAGATCCCAGGCGGGAGAAACCATTCGATGATACACCCTTTAGAAAAATAGAAGCAATAAAGAATTGTATGGTAGATAGGCACATTATGTTAGTACCTATGTCAATAGAACCTTCGAGTAAAATCCTCCACAATAGTAAACTCCCTCGGGTATCCTATGCAGTTCGCTTCTATTCCGTCTCAATGCCTTTGGTTATTTCTCAAAGAACATACTCTTGTACGTACTATATGTAGGAAAGTAAGAGGTTGAAGGAAGGCAAATTCTTTTGTATAGTAGGTACACAAGTACCTAACACAAACGGTAATCATCGACAATTGATTAAGACGCCGAAGATGGTTGACTCTAGGTTTCCACACGATGTTTTTCTTCACCGTATTCAGTGGTGTCTAAATATTCTTAGAAAGTGTGGGAGAGCCATGTTTCGGCACAACTGGGCTAACTCAGCTGGTGTGATATCACGGCCTCACAGAAAATCCGGTGAAACAAGTTGCGTTGTGTTTCGTTGTCTGAGTGAGGTTACCGGAGACCCAATACCCCCCCCCCCCCCTTAATCTCCCGAACCCCTGAATACCCAACAGTCCTCAAAAGTCCTGCAACACACTTGTAACGCCTCTGAAGTTCCGGGTGTTCATGGGCAGCGTTATTGCTAACCATTAGGTGATACATGTGCTCGTTCCCATCCCATATAAAAGTACATATAACTCGGAAAAAGTCACATTGGTTGCCGTTGGTAGATATCAAGCCCACACCATCAAGCATGAGAAGCGGATGTCTTAGACTTCCAAGCTGTCGCGGAGAACCTAACGGGTAACCTGGGCTCCGGCACGACGTGCAGGAGAAGGAGCGGGGTGGTTTTTAGTCAGTAAGAGTCTGACACTCCCTTCCGCCTCACCCGGGCGGGAGAAGTCATTCGATGATTTTCCCCCCTTAAAAAAAAAGCCAAGCTACCACGATGGTCATTAATTGATATTAGGTTAATTTTTAGCTAGTTTTCTATTTGTTTCTGCAAAAACCTCGAATCATCATTAAATACTCTCAATGTATTGGAGTACCGGAAACTCAGTAGAAACACTCCGAGAGTTATATCAGAAACTAAACAATAGGGTAGTTTCCTAAATTTTATTTTAATGTCCGTCTGGTACATTAGTTCAAAGCTTTAGACACGTATTTATTCTT